CAAGAGAAAATTCTGTCGGTTCCTTTAATGAACGAGTTTGTAAATAAAATGTTCCAATCATACAGTTTGACAACGTAGTTTTCGTCCGCCGCAATTTCGCAGAATGCGCCTAATCTCGCGGATAGGAAACGACTTTTCCGCGGAAACTATATGGAGGCGATAAGGCTCGGGAGCAGCTCGGGAGTTTGACCGCAATCTGTTAGCAGTATCTGCTGCCAGATGCCAAACGCTTCGCGCCAACAAGTTTACACGCGCGGTGTAGCTAATTGCGGTAATCTAGCTTAATGTACTGGAGAGAAGTAGTTTCGGCTAGCAGTAGCCGGCGGCGAGATTGTTACGAGAGAGATGGAGCATCAGCGCAACGTTCCGAAATTTCCCATTACGGTTCGACTCGGTATACGTATATATATATACAGGGTGTCCGGTAACTAACGGACCAATGATTAAAGGCTGATTCTCTGGCCAATTTGAAGACGATTTTTCCTTAGCAAAAATGTTGAGAAGTCAATAATTTTTGGAGTTAAAAGTCTAGCATAATTACATTCTTCAGTTAATTTCAGGTAGAGTTTACTATAATAAAATTTTAATTTGAGACTCAGTTATAAAGATACATAATGACAAATATTGGAAAGTTGTAAAAAATGATGACCTTTTTCGACATTTTCGCTGAGAAAAAATCGTTCCCAAAGTGACCAAAGAATCCATTTGTAATCGTTGGTCCGTTAATTACCGGACACCCTGTATATATATATGTAGGGTATGTTACGTATACCTGTAGTGTCGAGGATACAGGTCGAGTATCGGATACGGATTGACGTAATAACGCGTATATAATAAAGGTGACGTAAATGCGCGACGAGGGAAAATTTTCACGCAACGAACGATAAAATCTTAACGTGGGCTTTTCTCGTGGACGAGGACTTTGAGGGGAGAATTCTGTTTTTGCGGCGGACAAGGGAAGTTAATCCCGTCCCGTTATACGAAGACCCTGAGTCGACATTGCAGCCAGTCAGTCAGCCATCCACCCCCGAAGGGCTGCAAGCGACAAGATAATGCGAATAAAACACGATTATCCCTATTGAACAATGAGGAGAATCGGAACCATTGGATATTCAAACACAATTCTCATTCTTGCATCCTCCCTGCTCTCTTCGGGCGCCATTATAGTCTTAATTTATTAAGGAAAAAAGTATTCTGTACAAAGAGTAAGAGGCAACAATGTGTAACCGTAATTAATAATACCAATATATCTATATATAATGCATTTCAGAAACCCCCAAAATAAACGATATTAATTGCCTCGAGAGAGACCTAAATTACATCACATTATTGCTACGTCCGCAATTTATATATGAGGCCAAGCATGATTATTAACGCGTTGCGGCGTAATTACTAATGTATTCCAGGTTATATTATTAAAGCCAACACGATTAATCATGAAGGGCAAACTAATCATTAGAGTTACATTGCGATGTATAATTAATATCAAATTATTATTGAAAATCAAGGAGGGGCGCAATTTGTACGACAAAATCAAATAATTTCATTTACCCTGACAGTTTTCGTTGAAAAATGTTCTCCTCGTAAATGTACATATATTATATATTCGTACAAAAATATATCCCAATTTAATACTTTATATGTCAGAGTGTTTTGCGTCTCCCTCAATTCCAAAACTGTCTCTCGAAACATTTAATATCGCACCGTGACACTTTTTCCCAGGGGAGTTATTGCGAAAATATCGCGTTTCTCTCGTCTTCTTCGCACTACTCTTCTTTCACGGCAAAACCGAGAAGGGACGAGCCGTGTTTTCGACACGCGTTTGCACGCGTACGACTGGGAACGCGCGTTCTCCATTTCAGAAAATATGAGAACACATGTGTGATGTATTATTTCTCTCTCCCCTTTTATATACGCGGTATCTCTGCGATCCGCGACGCTCGCTCTTTGTCGTCCCCTCGACGCGACAGAAAATCGCGTACGCGAAGCAATCAATTTTTATTGGAGCAATATTTCGCGATCGCGATTTCGCTGCCGCGAAAATACCATAAACGTCAAGTCGGGAGTAATATAAATTTCGGGAAAATCAAAGGTAAAATCTTCTCGCGTTGCAACGCGGTAGATCCCACAATATCTAAGGGAGTGCCTGCTGCTTTAGAAAGTTAAAAATCAAGTGTTTCGTCAGAATTTTTTTATAAAAACTGCATGGCGAATCATCCTAAAACTTTTAGGTATTTATTATTATATAAATATTTATAAATATAAAAAATGGTAGTAATTTAATCAATCAACTCTGGCTATTTAATAATATTTATTTAATATTCACGTTTCGGCCATGGTTTCGGCTCTTATCAAGTGCTACAAATTATAATAATGACAATTATTAGAAAATTAAAATTAATTAAAAAGTAACTCAGTAACAATAAATATTTCCACACATTAATATGGTATGTATCCTACCTAAAACACAACTTTCTATATATAGAAACTCTATATAGAAACTTAATTTCTGATCTTAAAATGTGACATGATATAATGTGAAACAATTAACTATATTATTGTGTTGGTTTCAAGCTCTTTATATACTCATTACTTCGATCAAACTAAACGACCTTTATTAGTTTATCGTAAACAATATTTAGATTATCCGTGTCTTTTTGTAAATTGATTGTGTTGTCAAATTTTTGATAAAAACATCTCCGCGATTTCTCTTTTTCGTACAAATTTCTCATGATGTAAAATTTCAGGAGCGGACCAATCAAAATCATGACCATTATCGAATTTATGATTACTAATGGAAAAATTTGACCGCATCCTAAAATTACCGTACGTCAAAGAACTAAGTGAAGACGTTTCGAGATTATTGCAATCTACGGGCATGCAATGCGTTTATTGTATACCGAAAAAATTGAATACACTAATCAAACGTGTCAAAGATCCTTTGCCTTTAAAAAAAAAAACAGGAGTTGTATACAAAATTAACTGCGCAAATTGTTCCTCATCATACGTCGGTCAGACTAAACGACAATTAGGCACACGCATAAAAGAACATTTTAATAACATTAAGGTACACAATAGTAATTATTCAGTCATTAGTAATCATAAATTCGATAATGGTCATGATTTTGATTGGCTCCTGAAATTTTACATCATGAGAAATTTGTACGAAAAAGAGAAATCGCGGAGATGTTTTTTATCAAAAAATTTGACAACACAATCAATTTACAAAAAGACACGGATAATCTAAATATTGTTTACGATAAACTAATAAAGGTCGTTTAGTTTGATCGAAGTAATGAGTATATAAAGAGCTTGAAACCAACACAATAATATAGTTAATTGTTTCACATTATATCATGTCACATTTTAAGATCAGAAATTAAGTTTCTATATAGAAAGTTGTGTTTTAGGTAGGATACATATTAATGTGTGGAAATATTTATTGTTACTCAGTTACTTTTTAATTAATTTTTAATTTTCTAATAATTGTCATTATTATAATTTGTAGCACTTGATAAGGGCCGAAACCCATGGCCGAAACGTCGTGAATATTAAATAAATATTATTAAATAGCCAGAGTTGGTTGATTAAATTACTACCATTTTTAATTATCATCTGGTGACTTCAGAGATTTTTACATCATTTATAAATATAAAAATTTTTTTAGGTAAAAATATAGTCTGTAGAGGAAAAATCTTCCTGCAGCCTCATAGCTAATAATTAAAATAAGAAAAAAGTAAAAAATTGACAATATAGTATGGAGTTTAGAATGAAATAATACGATTTCCAAATATATATTTTTTTTTTACTTATATACTTATGCAAAAAAATTGTTTAAATTAATTTTTTTATTAATGTTAAAGGTTCATGGACAACGTAATTTCATAAATAATAAGGAAATGTTTAGTATTTTAATTTCAGATGAGATTTTAAGATACGAGAATACTCGTCAACGACGACCTTTTCTTAACTAAATTGTTACTACTTGTAAATATTTATAAATAGATGCCTAAAAGTTTCGTTGTAAAATTTTGTCAAAACAATTCTCAAAAATCAATCTCATTTTTGATTCTCTAAAATGCAGGCGGCCCCTTATAAATCGAGTTATCTAAGTTAAGCAGAAGGAAAAACTGGAAATGTGTTACTGAATATTTCCATCGCGTTTGAGAAATGTTACAAGAAACGGAAGAAAAAACACCTAAAGAAACGTAACTTTACATACGATCGAGTTTTATGTCGTGAGATCATCTCTCTGTATCGCGGTACATATATATACAATAATGTTGTCGAGGAAATAAGGAATGCGGTGAAAGACGAGACTAAATATCCGAACATCGCGCTTAGACCCTGACCATGGATTGCCTTTTACCGGATGGCAGCTGGCAAGGGCCAGATGTTGGTCGTTAATGGAGTGTACGGGTCTCTCAAAGTGGCACCAGACAGGATCCCCCCTCGAACTGCCTAAAGTTCATCTACGAGACAAAAGACTGACAGATCTCGCCGGAAATAAGAGTGAGAAATCGTTCGAATGAAAGAAGCGTGGATGATTTTATTCATGATATTCATCGAATTCAATCGCTCTTCGGATTACCTCATCGAGACAATCACATATAATTGCTTCTTCGACAAAAATGTTCATTGAAGTTCCCGAGTTAAATTATTGTTCGGAAAAAAACAAAACTTATTGAACGGGAGGCATTAATGTATAATAAAGTAGTGTTCAAAAAAAGAATCAACATATGTATAAAAATTAATGATTACGCGCAATCGAATTTTTTATTTGCCCTTTACACGAGTATTTAATAAAAAGGATTGCGTAATTATATACCGAACAAAAAGATAGAAACGCTTGAAAGTATATGAATAACAAAATAATTTTCTGGTATAATTAACGTAAATAACTTTAAATCTGAAAACAATGTTGAGAAATATATTAAACGCGTATAAAAATATTAATTGAAATAAAGGAGTAATTAATTTTACGATTAATTATTACTCACTTCATAATTGCTCCGCCAATGTTCTTCTCTCTCTCTTTTTCATTGCTCGTTGTTCGTTCATGGCATTCGCTCGCGAAAACACGCTTAATTACAAACAGCAGAATACGATCGCGCGATATTTTACACGGCATTCCCGACGTTAATTGACGCGTATACGACGCGCATTTTATTATGCGATGAAAAAGCAATGGTGAAAAGATGTACGATCCGTTCGACATTCGAAAGTCACGGGACATTCGCAATATTATTCGATTGCTATTATAATGTGTTTTCGAATTTTAAACAAATTTGTTTCATTTCGTATTCTAATTACACACATTCATATTTATAAGCGGATAGATATACGAGTTAAAGTTAAATTAAAGAAAAATGTTCACGGATTAGAAAATATAATTAGATCATACATTTTCATCAAGTTTCTGATAAATATAATGCATTTATCAAAAATTTATAATAAATATTGCATTTAATAAATATCGAAATACGGAATAAATAACACGAGATCGTACTTGTCAAATCTACTTATCTTTTCGTTATTTGGATCAAATAGTTATCGCCGCGATATATCTTTACTTGTCGCATGTCGCGAGAATTATACGGGCTGATGTGGTAGCTTGGTAATAATAGTAATAGAAAATAATCGCATTTCTCGAAAAGTAAGTATATATGGAGCGACTCGCGACACTACCTACTCGTTCGAGTCTCACCGCACGAGTGATGGCAAGGCTATGCCATGGCATGTAAACAATAAAACTCTATACACGCTCAACACATTGTCCATGTCATAATAGTCGGTATTCGCTATCATCAATATTTCATACATCATACAAGAAATATATATATTTAATTACGAATAAATAGTTTTAAATTTATTATTAATACATAATGTCACGTGTCACACAATTTATTGCTTCTTTGTTAATCACTCAATTCTATACGATTCGCATATTATTTGCCTATTTTCAATCCGGAAATGGCACATAAAATCAATGAGAAAATTAAATCGAATAATTGTATCGAAATTTTAAAAAAATATATCAAATTAAAATAAATATATAATATAATATTTTAATAAAAATATATATATATATATGTATATATTATACATATATTACACATATATCATACATATTTATATATTATATATAAATATAAAATATTTTTGTATTTTGTTTTGCAGTACGCAAAATATTTCGTGATGCTAAAAGATTAACTATGTATATATACATTATGCATATAAAAACCCAGACGAAAACGCGCAACTATTGACTACGTCACACGCCGCGTTGACACATGTTTATTGTTTACGCGCCGTGGCCTTGCAGTCATTCGCACGACGAAGCTCGGGCGAGCGAGTAATGTCACGAACCGCTCCGCGTGTTATTCTTCGAGACGCAATTATTCCTTACAATTTACAATATTATTAGAATAAGTGACAGTCACAGCCAATGCGATTAATTAACCTTTGTGATAAGCGGTACATAAGTGTATCTCATTAACTTATTGTTAGACTATTCGAATAACAAAAAAGCGTGACTGTATCGATTATTTATTAACAATACGTTTGCGAGATTTATATGTATGCGTTGTAAATGTAATAATTACGGTGCAATCATCCGTCCTTTATTTCAAGTAACTTTAGATTTATTAATTTTTCAAAACTCAATTTTATTTTATCCTTTATTTTTTTAATTTTGTTTTTTATTATTTATTTAGCGTTTTGATGTCTAATGTCGTTAATATAAGATTAATAGTGTTAATATAAGAATTTGTACGAAAATAACGAAACTTTTTATCTCGAACTTATATTTCAGAAACCAAAAATTTGTTCAACATAGTCGAACTAGTTTCAAACTATAAGAATGCGTAGACTTCTGATAGTAACAGAATTATTTTTTTTGTTCGTCAATCTCCACTTTGATCGCAAATTTATTTGGAAACATATTGAAACAAAGACCTAAGATTTTCAAGTTTGTCCTTTATTTTCTGTCAGAAAATATAATCACTATTATAACAAATTCGAAAAGATCAAATGATTAAAGTGACGAAGAATCATATGGTGCATTATTAATTTTTTAATAACTATAAAACTATATTTATTCAAAACTAAGAAAAATACTGTATTTTCCTTCATAGTATTAAATAATTCATGATGACGACGAATATCGACTATTGTAATATATACAATATGTACACAATATCGAATGCTCGGCATATAGAGTTGTAAAGAGCTTTATTGTTTACATATCGTGGCCTTGCTATCATTCGTGCAGTAAAACTCGAACAAGTCAGCAGCGAGTCGCTCCGTATATATCGTTATTTTTCGAAAAAAATGCAATCATTTTCTATTACTATATTATTACGAGCAATAATCGGCCCGTATAATTTCCGTGATAAGCAACACGTAAAGATATCGTGGCGATGATTATTTGATTTAAGTAAGAAAAGACGTAATACATTTGCTATAACCATATACGATCATTATTTACTTCGATTTCAATATTTATTAACCGCGTATTATAAATTCGATGAATGCAAATTATTTCTGTCGATCCACTGCGTCTTAACTAATCATTAACTCGATTTACATATATATATAGTATTACAAGATATCAGGACGTTGATGTGCTGATGTAATTTTTTTTTTGGGAGGGAGAATTAACAAAAAATAAAAAGTCACAGTTACAGCGCAGAATCGATATATGTTTAAGTAATAAATAAATTTTAAAAAGCTACAGTTCGTATATGAATATTTATCTTAACTCGTATGTTCATCCATTGATATTATAATGCAAAATAGTAAATTGACTTTAATCTATATACGTATACGCATACTATATGATAGCAGAAGAGACTTTATCACGATGAGTCATTTTCGAATGGCTGATCATTGCTCCCTCGTCGTAATACAGTAAAATGAGCGTCGCGTGTGTGATTAACATTGAGATTATCGTGCAAAATGTCGCGCAATTGTCGCATTTTAATCGCATTTTTGCGAGTGAGTGCCTTGCGAATGCCATGAAAGAACGGAAAAGGAGGAACGAGAAAAAGAGGAGACCGAGAGAGAAACTACTATGTTAAATGATTGCGGAGAGCAACCGTAGCGTGAGTAATTTATAAATTATTTGGTGGTCGTAAAAGTAATTGCTTATTTATTATTTAAAATAAAATTCGTTGTTTTTTTATTTCCACGGTAATAATCTATAATCTATATATTATCGTACTTATAGATTTCCAATTTTTTTACTCCGAAATACTTGAAATACCTATATTATCTATTTAAAATATTTAAGTTAATATTGTTATCCATTATAATATTTTTTCATACAATGTCTGTGTGCATGTGTATGCGTTGTATCATATTATAATATTATATCGTGCATAATTCAAATTAATATTGAATTAATATTTTTATGCAGATATATTAAAAATATTTTAATCTTATTATTTAAAAATTATAATATTTAAATTATTCATAAAACAATTGAATTTCCATCTCTATATCAAATTCTTTTAAAAAAGGGAGAGTGTGTTTACATTTTAATTCAAAGAAAACTTTTTCAGTAGTTATATACAATCTATTTTATTAAATATACGTGTGTCTAAAAGATAAATAAAAATTCTTTTTCGTGTGTAATTAATTTCTGAAATATGAACTATTTCGAATAATGCTTGTCTTATTAGACGTATGACGATACTTGACAAAAAATGCATTGATTCTCTTTGTAGAATTGTAGATATAAAAAAGCTACTATATCTATTATCCGTTTCTTTCTTTCTATATGACGTTTCTTTGCAAACGCTCTTTTATTACACAAGGGACTTGGTTATAAAGCTCTCGTACTTCTTTCCAGCGGCTATGCGCTTAAATAAAGAATAACTAGTATTTTAGCTTAGCATGGACGTAATAATTCACAATTCGTGCGGCTATCCGCAAATACTTTCCACTAACGTCTTTCTTTTTTTTCTATTATTCGCGTTTTTATCGTGACTTAATTTTCAAAATATTTTTTATTATGAATAATTTAAAAAAAAAGCAGCATATTTGTCATCCGATGCTTTCGAGTATTAATATTAAGTTGCCTTTTTATTACGCCAATCACAAAAATTGTAAAAAATTTTACACTGAAAAAGAATTTGTTAACTTGATTAAACCTTTCAACTAAATATTATTTTGTTAATTGAACATATAAAAATATTTAAAAAAATAAAAACGTAGATGTTTGAGAATCGCCAGACAGAATTAAAAAAAGTAAAACTCTTCTCTCGACCGTACTGGCAAATATTATTTATTATCGACCCTTCTTTGAGTCCTTATCAAGTGATCTAGATATACATAGAGAAGAAATACAGTACAGAGATTAATACAATAAAAAAAAATTACTTCAAAAAATTACTTAACAACATTATAAAATAATAAAAAGAAGCGAAACATACTTGTGAAATTAAAATAAAATTATAATTTTAAGATGTCAAAAATATTTAAATTAAATGTAACATTAAATCTAAGAAAACGTATATTTGACTTAAATACTAATATATATATATGTTCAATTAACAAAATAGTAATTTAGTTGAAAGGTTTAGTAAAGTTAACAAATTTTTTTCAGTGTATGAATATGATTAGTCTCTTTTGATAAATAAACGATTCTTATATTCGGATTTATTCGAAAAACGAGTTAAATTGCATCGACATTTTGGCCGCCGCAATTTTGTCGCGTGAAAAAGATTGGGAAACCTGGTATATTACGCTTTTAGCGAGTGTAAAATCCGGGCTGATATCGACACGATATGAAAGATTGCGTGGCGCGGTTCATGTCCCAGGTGTTCACAACGAAGGTTATTATATATTCTAGAGGTAGTAAATAAAAAAGAGATACTGTAGCACGCGATTATGAGCTGCAAGTAGCGGACTTAACAACGATATACTCCGTTTTCCGGCCCAACGGCTTACAACTTGTTGGTTAGTTTAAGGCAAATCAAGCGTAATTTTGCCGAAGCGAGGGTGGACTTCACTAAAGTGAATGCATCATTTTTATACAAGTAACAAAAAAAAAATACGAGACGTTTTTCAGTAAACATAGAATTATTCGTCGAGAAACAGCGATGATTTCGCACACGAGCAACTATTTTTCCCTCCCCAAAGACAGCTCATCCTTAATTTACGTATTACATGAAAGTTTGCTTGCGGTCGCTTATATAGTTTTCTTTGAACATATATACGGAATCACGGATAATTCTGTGTACACGTTGCGTAAGTAATATGCATCATATAAAGATATATACAGGGTGTCCGGTAACTAACGGATCAATGATTAAGGGCGGATTCTCTGGCCAA